TTCCAACAACAAAAAAAAAAACAGTAACATACTTCCAAAAAAATGATGATAAACGGGAAGTTAGAAAGCAAAGAGAAATTATTTGCTACAGATGCAACATGAAGGGAAATTAGGTACATACATGGCATATGCCAAAATATTTAGATGTTTTGTATTAGAAATCACAAAAAGAAAAAGAAAGAGAAAACGAAACTTAGAGCATGTACAATGCAAGTTTCTAAGTGTAGTATTTTAACAAAATAAATTAATAAATTAATAAAAAGTAAGAAGGAGAAAAAAAGTTCAGCTCTTAATTTTCTTATTTAAAAAACAATTCTAAACTTTTAAGAAACTTATTTAATGTGTGGTATGTTATGATTGGTTTAGATTTTTTTATGATTTAAAAATTACTATTTTTTTTAAGCTACCTTCTAAGATTTTTTAGCATTGCACATGTTGTTTTTGATGAAATTGAATCATCTTTCTAAGGCCTAAATGATGATACTCATCTCGATGTTGTTGGTTTCAAAAACAAAGAGATTCACTTGTTTACTTGTTGGGGAGTCAAAATGAACAAAATCATGTGAAAAGAGAGATTTATATAAGAGTATGTTTAATGCAGGTTTCTTAGCATAGTATTTTAACAAAAAAAAATTAATAAACTAATAAAAAGTAAGAGAGAAAAAGAAGAATCAGGTTTCTTATTTCAAAAATCATTCTAAATTTTAAAAAAAAAACTCATTTAGTATGTGGCATCTTATGATTGGTTTAGGTTTTTTCATGATTTAAAATTTAATATTTTTTATGAAGATACCCTTAAAGTTTCTTAGCGTTGAAGATGCTCTAAGTGGATTGTGGCTGTTCAAGTTTGAACAGAGGCTATGTGCATAAGCATAAGCAAGATTGGACAGCTTGATATTGAATCATTTCTTGTGGCACTCGGCAACTTTGGCAAAGGAGTCTATATTTCTGTGTGGCATTGGAGGCATTAGCCATTGCAGCAAGTTTGTCACTCTTTATACTATTGGTTGAACTGGCTGGGGGAGAGAGATGTGATAATAATACAAGTGTTTAGCCACGTGAGCAATAGACAAAATCTATCTGAGGAGTATACACGTTGAAGGAATCATTGTGTTTCAGAATTGGTATTATATATGTATGGTGATTGTAGCATTGTAACAATGATTGTAGAGCAAGAGCAACTACAGTTGCTACGTATGGGAAACAGATTACAGATTTTGAACTTAACGACATCTCATACAAGAAGCGATGGACTAATGAATCAAATAAAGAAAAAATCTGCAGTGAATGGGATCAAGGTGCAGTGTAGTGTTGCAGCAGTTCTATCTTCGAAGAGGGGAGTATTGATAGGTATGCATATTGCATAATGATGAGCTGGATGTTGATGGACATGAGACTCGTGCTGAGCTGGCATTAGAAGACTGTTGACTGCTGACATGGGTTGAGAGTCGATAATTGTTCGTGGAAACTTGTATATGGAGTCTTTATATTTCTGTTAGGCGGTTTATCTAGATCCAGAAAGAGTCTACGATCAATCAAGAATTGTAGAGAGAGTTGGCCTCTGCAATATTTGGCAAATTCAAGAGTGTTCTTGAGACTCGAGGGATCACTTCTTAGAGCTTCTCTTTGGCGATTTGATAGAGTACTTCCTTTGTTAAGAAGTGAATAAATAGTGTTCTCTTAACAGAGTACTAACAGAGTGCAAACATAATGAATGTGCTCACGCATCCCTCAGGTACTATGCATGGGACTATCGCCTTCTGAAGAGATTTGCCGAGCATTACTCAACCAATGAGACAATACCCGAGAAGTTGGTTAACTCATTACAAGGTGCGAGGAACATGTTTGCAGCAACTGAACTGCAACGCCAGGCCTGATTAATTGATTCACCTCTCAAACATACTCAATGATGCACTAAAATTTATTGGTTTGTTAGCACAAAATATTGTTACTACTCGAGTCAGAATAAAGTTCAATTTGGTTTTGGTTTGAAGATTTTCGGTTTATTATATTCAACCCTTGTCGAATTACATCTACATTCTTAACACACCGAGGCTAAACCAAGACATGCCTAGAAGAGTTTGCTATATGAGTGGACCGGACTCAATAATTCTTGACCAAAACATGACTAATAATTCTTCTTCTTCTCTAAAAGTAAAACTAAACAACTTTTAGGGATAAACATATCATTAGCAAACAAAACACAATAATGAGTCACCGTAATTTGTTGGTGAAAGTCAAGTGTTGGGGCCCTTTTAGGAGGCGCCGCTAAGTCCATTCCTCCCACTAAGACACCGTGCTATTGATTTGCTCATTTGTTATCATTGTTTTGATGTTGATTATCATGATGTTGAGATTCTCTCTCCTCTTTTTTTTTGGACATGATTCTCTCTTCTCATCATTCCCATTTTTTTGTATAAATGTTTCTTTTGTTTTTGTTTATATAATTAGTTATTAGTAATTACTATGTAGCTGCTTTTCAAAGTCTCGTCTACGGTTTTGGACTTTTAGTTGTAGCATTCTCTCTAACTTTTTGTAATATTGACATCCAGCTTCAATATATTAGAGGGATTGATTTTTCGTATAACTTTGAAATTGTTTTCGATTCAGAATTAATACTTTTGTTTTTAAATTGTTGTGCTATGAAATATGTAAACTAGCTATTGCAAGTTGCAACAGTTCTCTTTGTGTAGGTTTTTTGAACTTTGATAAAATCCAATTCTTATATATATATAATATATATATATATATAAAAATATATGTATATATCAATCCTAAGCTTAGACATAGCAGATAGCACCCAAAAATCAATACTTATGAAATGAAATCTGTGGCAGATTCGATGCTAACGAAAATATACACTTTATAAGATGATAGTTATGATTAGTTTTGTCATTTCTTCTGAAATTTTAATTTTTTGTAAAAGAAATGTAAAATGATGAACTCAACTCCCTATGCCAAAATGTTATTCTATTTGCTTCTCTCTTTTTTGTGGATTTTCGATTTTTAATTCTAGTAGTTAATTTCAATAAGTTTTGGATTAGTATATAAGTCTAGAACAAATTTAGATTCTTTACAAAAATTGTAATGAACGTACCGTCGTTGTTCTACCACCATCGACATATATCTGTCAAGTAAGAATAACGGCGTTAAATGCAATAAACAAAATATTGATTGACTACATTACACGCGTATGCATTCATTATTTCATGTACACAAACACAAATCGAAACAACACACGTATCAAGCAAATATACTAAAGTATATGTACTTGCACAATTATCAGAACTAGAATTTGGATACTTCGATATTCACGAAGCTATGATGATTGTTAGTCAAAATCTATGATAACAGTTTTAAGCCATGGCAGTGGAGTAATAGAGATGACTGATGAGTAACAACAACCACTAGTAAAACTCGTATGGTGAACACTTTCCTTTTACATTTTTTTCTTTTCTTTTTTATCTGTTTTCATACATTATGTGGATTTTTTTTATCCGTTCTTTTATTCATAGTGGTTGTCTCAGAGTCTCAGACAAGTTGTCTAATACTGGTAAAAAGTTTCTGTGGTGCTTCTTCTCTGTAAATTCTGTTGTGCTTTTACTCTGTACACTGTAATGGGTTTTTTCTTTGTACCATTTAAAGGTTTAATGAAAATGACCCATCTGATTCAAGACTGCCTAAGAAAAAAGAAAAATAATGCAAAAAGGTAAACAAGATTCGCCCAAGTGAAAAACAATCAAAACAAGATTTACCTAAGTGAAAGCAACAAAAGGAAAAGATAAACAAGATTACAAGTGAAAAAGGTAAACAAAACTGGCTGAGTGAAAGGAAACAAAACATGTAAACAAGATTTTGCATCAAATCGGAGTAAATAACTTCTGATTTTCGAAGGGAAAAAAATAAAATCCAAAAGAAATACATTAAAAGGACAATTATGTTAGGTATGGATCTTCCACCTACTCTCCTCGCTCCTCAAAAAAATATCTCTGTTACATTTCATGATTTATCCTCTTATCTTATGAAATATGATATTACACTTTTTTTGCTATGTGATATTTGTAAGAATTAGATATCTTTTAATATCTCCCAATTCATTCGTACTAGAGATAAATGTGACCCTCTTACCGACGTCAAAAAAAAAAAAAAATGTGACCCTCTTACCACATAAATATCAAAATTTTCACTTAACCATATTAGAAGACTAACTAACTAATAACTATAGGTAATACATATTTGATATTTCTATACTCCAAATACCACACCTTGTCACATTATAAACAGTTTCTTGGCTAAATTTTTATGACCATTCAACTGAAATTCGAGATCCATATGACTAACACAAGCCTTAACTTTAACAATTTGATAATATGAAGTTTAAATATACATATAAAAAATCATGAAGTTGTTTTAGTAGTTTTTTGTTCATTTTCTAACTTATATAATAAGTTTCTTCTTTCTTAAATTTGGCCATTCGCAGATGATAATCCACCATAAACGGGGAAAAAACGACGAAGGCTTGGTGGTACAAACTACGACTTTATAAGGAAAAAGTCGTTTTAAATTCGTAATTGATATCAATAATTATAATTTCAATCATCAGCAAATTGCTGTCCTTACGAAAACCAACCATAGGAGATGAGTTTTGTCTTTATTAAGAATTGAAGATAATAAACTCGTGCAGAAATTAAATAGTGTACTATCGACACCATTCGAAAACAGATCTTATCCGAAGAAAGCCAAGATGTATATATTTTCGCATAAAGATTGGCTTTGTTTCAACATAAGTGACATTTTTCCACATAATCATTAATCAACAAACTTAACTATCATCATTAACTAGTTTAATTATGCATTGACACCTTGACAATCCTCCAACACAAACCCCATTCCTTAAGATCATCCACACTTTCCCTCTTCTCGAGCCAAAACTCAAAAAGACAAAATCACCCTTCCCAAAATACAAAATTAAAAACGCATATAGCAAAATAAACCATTAACTAATCAAGCTTATTTGGTCCGGTACAGTAACTAACGACATGGTTCCATAACCACTGGATCAAATACCGCCGTCGGATTCCATTAACGTTATACGTGGCACCACGATCATCGTTCAACATCTGTCCCGTGTACGAACCACCACCTCCAGTTCCATAAATACCCTCGCAAAGATCCGCTATCTCCACCGGAGCTACCGGGTCGGGTCCTGCGTACCAAGCGTTAACCAACGGATTCGTCGCCAGCTCAGCAATCTCGTGAGCGATCACACTTATCATCCCATCGACACCAATATCACCGTTCGGCGCTTTCATCGGTTTAATCCCCGGGATAAACTCCGGCACGGCGAAGGGATACGCACAAACTCCGGGACAGAACTTCGCCGAGTTTCCGACCCACGCGTACGGCAGCGTGAATCCAACAATCGACGGGAATGTGAAGTAATGAAATCCACAAACCTGTCCGCAGAAATCCTGAACGTACACGTCATCGGCTGTGAGGAGGAGATAGAGACCGCTTTTGGGATTAACCGGCAACGGCCGAGATCTGGAACCGACGGCGGATTTTATCACCGACTGAATCGATAACCGGGTTAGTGATTTACCGTGGGAGTAAAACCGGTCATTCTTCTCTTCGCCGAGACGAACCGTACCGGTAATGTTGGATCCGGTTTGGTCAGTGTAGAGCTGTACAGTTTTCCACCAACCGGAGACGGAAGGGTGTTTTGATCCAACGGCTGAGATTGAGTTGATGAACTCACGGATGATTTTCTTCTGCGATTTTTGCCACGTGCCGTACCAGATTGGATGGACGGTGATGTTGTTGGTGAGGACTGGGCCCATGTGGTAACGGAGGCGGACTAGATTCGATGAGCCTTCGAATTTCTTTGAAGCTCCGAATATTTGATCGGAGCCGTTGGTTTGGGGAGGATATGGACGCCATCCGATGACTTGTTGCGCCGGTGATGTAAAGAGCACTGTAAGTACGGTGAGGGCGAGTATCACCGGAACTGAATGCATGTTTTTGTTTTTATTTTTTTTAGGGATTTGGGTGAAAGTAAAAAAATAATTATTGGGAATGAGAGAAGAGAGAAAAAATTTGAATTGGTGGACCGACTTGTCTGAAGAGACATGGAGTGTCAAGTGTGTGTATATATAGGATTATTTAATTCAAACTATTGTACATTGATTTATTTTTATTTTTTAATATGTACATTTATCAAAAAAAAAATTGGCTAATCTAATAATTTGATACTATTTTCAATTTTTCATTTTACCTGAAAGTATAAAACTTAGGATCCGATTAAGCAATCAAAGTTTTTTAGAAAGCAATGAGAGTAATAACGAAATAATAAGAAACGGTGAAAGATAATGATTAAAAGTAGTGGTATCATATTCAATATTGTTAATTTTTACTTAATTGATAACAAAACAAGCTATATATCTTTTCCCTTTGCGGTAAGAATTTACCAATTTAATCTCAGTAGTAAAAGATTGTAATCAAGTAACAATAATGTGATTGTAATCAAGTAATCAAACTAATAAACATGGGATACGAAGTATCTCATTCATATGATCAAGTTGTTAATAAATGTGACATGGCATTTGATTAAATGTAAAATGAAATAAAACTACAACTGCAAGTGCAAGTAGCTGCAAGTAGAGCAAATGTTTCGAGTTTTAAGGAGAACATCGAGAATGGTAATGGTCCTAATGGAGGACAGATGGGCTTGTTAAAAGGTGAGGTGGACAAGTAGGACCCACAAAAAGACAAGCGGCGTCGTCGATAGCCGTCCGATTGTTTTCAATCTGACGTCATCGGAACCCTCATTTTTTGGTTCCCCGTTGCGCGGGAAAATCTTTATTCTTTGTTTCAGGGGTAATTATGAAATTATACACTCAGCTGCTTCTTTTTTCCGGGTATGGACCTCACTTTTCAGAATTATTTCGTTTTTTTATATATATTTTAATTAGGGACCACCACGAGTTTTTCAAAGCCCTCGTATTTTTTGAAATTTATATTAATTACATAAAAAAGACAGTTGTGTATTTATTTTTGTCGTGTTTGGGCCACTTGAGAGGATAGTATTCGTGAACGAGAAGATTAATCACACTAATACTCAAAAGATGTTTTATGTTTTCAAGATTATTTTTTCTTTTTTAATCTGGTCTCCTTAGCACTACAGTTGATAAAATCTACTGCTGTCATGTGAATATAGCAATTACCAAATACCATACATCGTAGACCTCGACTAATACATTTTCCAATATTCGGCCAAAAACCTTTTAACATGTTCAGTTTTTTGCTAGCGAGTTTTCAAGAACTTCGAGATTTTTCACAAGACTTATATATTAAAATGTTAAAGATCATTATGTCACTGTATAGTTTGACTCATCAGCTAGCATTCAGATCGAGAGAGATAAAAGTTAACACACACATCATAGCGTACATTTCTTTCCAAGCAGCGGACGCAAAAATGCATCCCAATGCTTATGCTTCTGCACGTTGCATGAACTGGGAAAGCATAAGATAACATATTGAAAAGTTCATTTATATTAAAAAAAAACATTAAAATTCCAATCTAAGGCTTCAGAATAAATCAATTGCCAAGAGAAAACAGCGATGGATTGAAAATCGTGGCACCTAAACAAGTAGGCAGCAATGATCCAAAAATATGAGGCATATTTGGCTTCAAGTAATCTTGCTTCTCGATATAGTACCAATAATATACTTGCGTTGACATATAGAGTAATAAATTTGAGTTTACATGTATATAATTCGTACAATGCACGTAGATTATATACAGCCACCTATAAGTTTTTTTTGTCTTTTTCATGCACGTTTTTCATTTTTCTTAGATTCACTACAAAAGTAAATCAATATTGTTATATATTTTTATATTACAATATATAAAATTTCCGTCGTAAATTTTATATTGTGACGATAATGTTACAAAATCTTAAAATTTACAATAAAAACGTCACAAATCTATTTTAGTTTTAAAAACGTTATACGACCGTTGATAATAGTAACGATTTGTCATCACTTGTGACAACATCAAAACAGTCACAATGATGATAAATAATTTCTTAATTAACACTTTTAAAAAAATACTAGTAAAAGTAAATATTTATCGTTTAGAGAATTTTTGAAAATTCTGTGGTCAGCTTTTAATTGTTTGAATAAGAAATTGTATCTAGTTCTATTTTACTTTGGAATTAAAGTTTGATGAATCTCGAAAAAAAGGCAGTTGATTTCGTGAATGGAATTAAAGTTTATTGATTTTCCTCCTTTCTTTGACAAACTCAAACCAGTTCCTTTCCCGATTAATTGCTAAGGTTTGATATTCCGAGATTCCATGTTCGATGAATTTGAGAAGTATTGTTGGTATTGTTACTTATTCAACACGAGAACCGGCCAAACCAGAAGAATCTGTAGCCGAGAGAGAAAAATCGTTTACCCATAGGAACCAATACCCCAATTGAGTGGAACAGATGGACCAACACCACATAAAACCATCACGTCCATCCACTACATAGAACCAACCGGTTTAGGCTACCCTATCGATTAAATTGTTCAAGAGTTTATAAATATATTATCTATCATCTCACTGTATATCATAGATTCATAGTTAACCTGAAAGTCCTAAACCCTACTAACAAAAGCAAGTACATATCTTAGAGTTAAGATTTTACGTGAACGTCCAAATTTAGTATATATAAAAAGATATTTTACGTGAAAACCGATCTCATACCAAGAATAATCACATGGTTTAATGAAAACCGATCTCATACGCTAATAATATATATCCACGACAACACGTTCAGAATTTAATCATTTAATAATTCTCAATAGTACACTATGGTAGGAGAAATTTTGAGAGCTACGTAGCTAAACCTAACCACGATTTCTTACCACACCTATTATTCCAATTATTTTATTTGAATAATTGTTGAATTTTCTATGTTTATTAAAAGAAAAAAGGTAGAAAAAGTGGACACATGAGCACAAATGTTATATACGAGGCACTGGTGTGTATCCCATAAAAACATATTTAAAACTATTTGCCGTAATTCGCATTTGAAGGTTCCGATGAGAATATTTAGAATTTCGTTTTGTATTTTACTTTTCACCATTATCACCAAAAATAAAATTCCGATAACCCAAAAAGACAGTTTGTCCTACCACAAAAGTTTCATCGATAACAAATTTAGATGGAAAATGACTGGGATTTTTGTTAATAGATAAAAATTGCATCTGACAAAAAAAAAATATAACATAGCAAAAACAAATTCGAGAAAATGAAATACTAATAAACAAATGGAGATTATGGGAAATGAGAAGAAAACAAAATAAAACCTGGGAAGGATAAGAGGATGGGCCCGTCTCAATCGCGGAGCGAATTGCGCGGCTCTCTTGTCAAGGTAATTGATGTGAACACTAAAAATAATTTTAGTTAAATAGGTTTATAAAAAAAAAACGAAAATGTTTTGTAAATATTATAAGAAAATTCCAAATAAAATTAAATATAGTCAGCAAGCGGAAAATTGCTCATTTAATTCCTAAAATATTTGTAATTGGTAAATTTATTTTCTAACTATCATGTGTGTAGATTAAATCTTTAATTTAGCATTGATTTTGTAAATTTATGTATGAAAAAAAGTCAACGTTAATGAAGAAAACGGAAACGTTAGCGTTAACTTCTTTCGGTCTAATTTTGCAAGGTTAACATAAACTAGAGGAGTAAATTTGTCAAATTAAAAATTAAAGAATTAATCTGTATAATTAAGAAAACTTGGAAAATTAAATAATCATTTTTTATTTATAAAATTATGATTATTTTTATAAATCATAATTATTTGTAGAATAGCATCAAATACTTTTTATTTCTTTTATTATATTATGTTTTCTAATAATCATAAATCATAATTATTTGTAGAATAGCAACAAATACTTTTTAAAATTTTTTTATTATTATATTATGTTTTCTATCTAAAATTTTATTGATTTTTTAATTAAAATGACAAAATCAGTATATATAACTTTCGAAAAACAAATAACTTAAATAGATATATTTGTTTTTAAAATTCTCTTCTCAAACTTCTATTAATTTGAGTAAAGATCAACTTCAAGACATATATTTTGGATAATTTCGGGAAAATTCAGAAAATTTTGAGAAAATTAATATATATATATATATATATAGGTAATTAAAGTATATGATCTTATACTTTTTTTTCGTACCTGTTTGAATAAAACAAAAAGTCTCGATTGATAGGAGAATAATCATCAGTTGCTAACCAAATACTATCATATACTTAGAAAGATGGTAAAACCAAGTGATTTTGATAAAATTGTTTCTTCTAATAGAGTAACAATACCAATGACCGTATGATAGGAGAATAATCATCGGCTGATAACCAATAAAATTGTCAGTAAAAAATAAAATCACTAGAATTAAATACACGTAATTTTATTTATAAGAATAGAAAACATAATATAATAAAATCAATATTTTTAAAAAAATATTTAATGGTATTCTACAAATAATCATGATTTATGAAAATAATCATGATTTATGAAAATAATCATAATTTTCTAAATAAAAAATGATCATTTAATTCTTCAAGTTTTTGTGATTGTGCATATCAATTCCTCAACTTTCAATTTGCCAAATTAATTCCTCGAGATTATGTTGATTTTGCAAAATTGGACTGAGATATAAAGTCAACGGTAACGTTTCCGTTTTATTCTTTAACGTTGATATTTCTCATGTCTAAATTTACGAAATCAATGTTAAATTGATGATTTAATCTGTACACATGATAGTTGAAGAATAAATTTACCAATTGCAAATACTTCAAGAATTAAATGAGTAATTTCCCGTCAGCAAGCAGTAAAAGAATCGTACAGCTGAGCTTGAAAGCTCTGGTCCGAAAGTGGGCCACTAAAAGTTTATTTTAGCTACCACGGGTCCCACTTACTACACTGACGTTACGGTGACACGGAAGGACAATTACTGACGCCAGACTGGCGACACTTGGCACATATGTGGAATCTAATGCTGACTGTGCAGTATTGACTCTTCGTTAACATGACACGTCATCGAGGAGTGTGAAAGAGACAAACGTCGCGTGAAATTAGCGGGATTTTTCTTTTTAAGTCTTTGAAGACTCTTACACAGCGCGTGACGGGTACGCTCCGATGAACGGTGAGGTCCATCTCCGATTTTGGTCGTGCATTAAATTGGTTTAATAATGTATTTTGTAGATATTATTAGGTGTTGTTTCGTGTTTTGTGTAACGTGCAATGACTTTACTGATAATGAAATTTTTTCAAGTTTTCACATTTTGAGCGATTGGGTTTTAACTTTTAAAGTCGATGATATAGTTACCAGTGACCACGTATTTTAAATGATTATTTACAACCATATGAATATAAACCTAAACTTATCAAATATTTGTCGAAAATCTTTTTACGTTTAACCATAATAACAACCCGTTACAGTTGGAAACATATATATATACTAGGTAATAATCCGTATCCTATACAGAGTAAAATAATTGTTATTTATTTATATTTAATATAATTTTAAAATCATATAATATAATATAATTAAATTAATATAAATTTAATATAATATTATACAAAAATAATGTAATAGTAATGTATATTAATTTAAAAATTAAGTAGCATACATAACACATGATATAGATGGATAAAAAATATGAAGTTACCATACAGATTTTCAATATCCTGTAATTGATGATATTATTCATTATTTTCACCAATATCTAAGATTTAGATATACAATTTATATACATATTTAATTAATTTTGACTCTTAAATAATTAAATACTATTAGTTAAATAGTTTGTTAATTATCTATTAAATATTATTAGTTAAATAAATTAAAATATTTTCTTAGTCCCAAATTGGACTTATTCAAAATATGATACAAATCGATAAGATAATATTTTTTTTAAAAAATCTATATAAATATATGGTTCATTAATATCATAAATTAATAATTACCATAAAATAATCTTATATAAAAATATAACTATGATTATATACTAAATTATGAATATATAATGATTTGTTTTTTTTTAAATTGAAATAATGTTATGGTTTATCTACAATTTAAAAGTGAAGTATTTAAAGATATTACTAACTTTTAAAACAAATACAATTTTTAATTAATTATTAATAAATAATTTATTTAGTTTCAAACCGATAATTTTATAAATTAAGAAAATATTGAAATCACAATATTATCAATTTATAGAATTTCCACAGTAATTAAATTGATTGATTTAAAACAGACAAACTAAGAAAAAAAAACATGAACAAATCTTGCTGAAAATTTGATACTATATATGTTAAATCAAACATTAATTAAAAAAATAAACAATTAATATTGATATTATCATATTATGATCTCTTGCCAAAAAAAAGTAAACAATAATGCTATATACCATATTTATCATCTAAGAATCATATATAAATTAAATCATAATGCAATATATCATATTTCCTTATATAGTGAATCTGAATATTAAATAATATATATCATAATAATTTTGAAAATTCATCATTTTATTTTTAATTGATATTTGTGATAAAAATAACATATATTTTTAACTTATAATTTGTATATATTATTATGAATTGTTAAATGATATTATATATGTTTTTACAGTTATTTTCATGCATGCTATAATTATTACAATATGTGAATAAAATCATTATGATTTTCTTTTATTTGTTCTGATTGATTTTTGATAAAATAAAATATTATCTTTAATTATTCTGTTGTATTTATAAAAATATTTTTAGTAAACAATTAATAAACATATTTTTGAGAAAAATAAAATATTATTTTTAATTATTATGTCGTATTTATAAAAATATTTTTAATAAATAATTAATAAACATATTTTATAATAAAAGTAGTAAACATTAGTAAAGTATTATATATTTGTTATGGATTTGAGAAAAATAAAATATTATTTGTTAATTTTTCAGTTATTTTTATAAGAATTTTGTTTTATAAATAATCAATAAAAATATTTTTTTAAAAAATAGTAAACATAAATAAATATTATATATTTTACTATGAATGATAAAAACAGTAAATATTAAAAAAATATTATATATTTTATTATAAATTTATAATAAAAAAATATATTGATAGTATTTTAAAAATATTATATAATAAATTTCGTGTATATTATATTTAATATTAAATAAATTTTATTTTATTAAATTATTAATTCTAATATTATTGCCTTTGAATTCATTTAAAAAAATAAAAAATAATATATTTATAAACCTAAAATATACAATGACATATCATGTAATTAGTCTAGTAATCTAAATCTTTTTTAAAAAAATAGCTAAAAATAAATATGGGATTGACACATCAGCAAAATAGCACCATTGTAATATTCTACAAATTTAAAGTTTCTCTTTAAAAATACTTTTTTTTTTAATATATAGAGAATATATATATATATATATATATATATATATATATATATATATATATATATATAAGTTAGACATGTAGAGTTGTAGACAAATTCATTGAAAATGATGAATATGCACCAAGACGCATTAGCTAAACCAATCGAAAATCGAATCCTTTTGGCAAAACTTCGAAGTAAAAAATATCTCAAAAACACCTGATAAAATGAATTAGAATTGAAAATAAACTACATACATAAAAAGATACAAAATATTAACCGCCACAAATCCTTAAAGAAAAAAGATTCCCAACTTCGAGTTCTTTTGCTTATTAGCTATTTATCTTGCCGTTGAACAAAAAAAAAAAAGCTATTTATCTTGCCCAAAATAAAATTTCTTTACAACTTCTGATTCATGTGTTCCTTTGTGATAGATTGTCTAATTTATCGTAACTATAATCTGTGTAAGTCTTTGTTCTTCCTTGAATCATCCTTTTCATTTTCTCTTTCTCTAGTTTTCATCTTTTTCAAATCTTTATTAAAAATATGGAATAAACTATGTTTTTTAAAGTGTTCTTATCACGAGATTTATCCACTATATACAAAAATGAGATTTTCGAAACAAAGTTTTGTAGCAAATGGCCGAAAACTGTCCGTTCCATTAAATCTCAACAACATCCGAAATGAAATTCAATTGAGTTTCTGAAATATTTGGTACAATATCTTTTAAAATTTCTCAAGACATTGTATCTCTTGGGATGTTTTAATCTCAAATCAAGCTTTTTTTACATTCCTTGATGGTTATATCTAATGTGCCTTGACTCTTGAGGTGCATGTTGAGGTGCATGTTTTTACTCTGTTATAAAAATTATGTATCTTATTTTACTTATATATAAATTAAGGCCCATTAAGGCACAGCAAATTTGCAGTGGGCTAAATCGTGTTCTCTAATATGGGCTCAACTAAAAGGCCCATTAGAGAAGTACCAAAAAGAAAACCTAGTTTCTTCTGTGTCTCCAGATATAACCTAACATTGTCTCTCTCCCTCAAAGTTCGTCGCCCAGTTTCTTCATCAACTCAGCGGCTCGTGTCTCTTTCTTCTCTGGTAATTTCTCCTTTACAGATTTACACTCTTATATACAATCTAGCCTCGGTATTCTCATGTTGAATCCAACTGTTATTTCAGAAATGATATTTGAACATTCATTTTTTTTCTCTAGGCTATGATTTTTAGGGTTTAGGTTTCTTCGATTTGATTATCTCTAATAAGCTTGTTGTCTTTTGGATATCTTATGTTAGCTTAAGGAGCTCGGAAACAAAAAAAAGTAGAAGAAAGCTATGGCGTATGCACCACCGATGAAGCAAGGAAAGGCTGGATTTGAGGAGCCACAAGAGCAGATTCACAAGATCAGAATCACTCTCTCCTCCAAGAACGTCAAAAACCTTGAGAAGGGTTAGATTCGTTTTCTTGATTTCGCCATCAAATTCGCTTGTTTCAGTTAGATCTATTAAAAGGGTTTATGCATAGCTTGCTGGAGTTTGGGTTTAGTCATTAGTATAGTTCTGAAACTTAAAAATGGTTAAATCATCAGTCGTTAATTGTTCTAAGTTTTCTTGTTGTTGTGTGTTTTGATTGTTCAAGTGTGCACTGACTTGGTCCGTGGAGCTAAAGACAAGAGACTCAGAGTTAAAGGACCAGTGAGGATGCCAACGAAAGTTCTTAAGATCACCACAAGAAAAGCTCCTTGTGGTGAAGGTCAGTAATCATATCTCCTTTCTCTGTTTTCTTAATGTCACTGTGTTGTGTATATACATTGCTAAGATTGCTTTGTGATTGGTTTGTCATCTGGTGGCTATTACAAATTCTGTAAATCTTGTTGACATGTTCTGTAGTATCATCCTTCGATGAATAAAGATGTTTATAAGATGTTTGTTTTTTTTATGTATTGTAGGAACCAACACATGGGACAGGTTTGAGCTGCGCGTACACAAGCGTGTGATCGATCTCTTTAGCTCACCTGATGTTGTGAAGCAGATCACTTCCATCACCATTGAGCCTGGTGTTGAGGTCGAGGTCACCATTGCTGATTCTTAGATGCAAGTCGTTTTTTAATTTACAAATTTGTCTTTGAATTCCCCAACGACATCTCTCTTTTTTTGCTATAAGGTTTCAGACTTGGTGTTTGCTTCTTAAATATGTTATCGTTTACAATTTTAATTTTGTTGAAACATTTGAATTTTTGCTAGTTGTTTACTCTTTTTGCTAAAGCTTTTGGTCTTGATTGTCTTTACTTAATCATTTAAATTGATAAATCTTTGCTTGAGCAAGGGAAATAATAGTTTCATTCCATAAAAACAAAAGTGAAACGTACATATTAGTTTCAATTTACAAGAGTTAAATACTCGATTGTGTCTTAAGAAATTAGATTAAGGGAACTAATTGGTTGTGAGAAATTGTGATTAATTTTCACCCCAAGAGAGCCTTGTACCTCCTTGTGCAATAATGAAGACACAAACCAACACTAAACGTCTAAATTAAGGAACTGATTCGTAAGAGAAGAACAACACCCCATGGGCCGACAATCTAATAGAAGGGTAATTGTCATCTGCAAAGTTTTACAGAAAAACCTGGATACTACTTCAAAGCGGATCATCCAACCTCAGGCTCATCGAATCTCAAACACAGAAGCCTAAAGTATCTGTCCATGTTGAATCACTTGAGATTCTACCTCCGTGAGGTTAATTCCAAGCTCCTGGTCTTGGACGACGACATCGACATCGTTATTCACAAAGTCAACCTGAACAGCAAGGTCAACGGTGCAGTCGAAACCTGTGGGGAGAGTTTCCACAAGTATCTCAACTTTTCGAATGTATCTCAACTTTATGCTCACATCGCAAGTAAAATAATAAATATAAGCTAAACATCTAATCTTGAAAAAAAAAAATACTATTAATATCTATATAAACATCTAAATCTTAGATGTTAATACTTGAAAACAAACCAAACTTTTGTTTTTTATATTTTGTGGAACTAAAATACCAACGATAATATCAGTAGAACAAGTCAACTAATTAAAAGATAAATATTACTGAATTGAAAGTGATAACATTGTTATTATAGTGACAAGTTTTTTGATCAAAGTTTATCAAAGTGTAATTTGTTTGTCGTTATATTAGAGAACTAAGTTGTATACTAAATCATGATTGTGATTCTCTCACTTCATTTCGAAAAAGATATATAACTTTTATTTTTAAGTCTTATGTAATTATTTTAAATTGTTAATATTTTAATTAATAAACTAATTATTTTTTTGCATTCTATTAGTTTTAGCTATGATGGTGGCTAGACTTACGACTTCAATTAGTTAATGTTCTGCGGTTTGGTTTTCCCGGTTATTTGGTTAATTTAGATTTTAATTTTTTTATTGAATTGAACCGAACAAAACAATGAATTGGTTTGGTTCAAGTTAATTCGGATTTTAAAATTTGTTGCCAAATTGACCCGAAGTATTTGGTTTTTTGGGTTCAAATTCGGATAAATTTGGTTTTTTAGATTAGTTCGGTTTAATTAAAAATTAAAATAGGATAATAATTAATTTTATCTTTAAAAATTAAACTATGTAAATAAATTTAATTAGAAACAAATAAAATAGTATTTTAATGATTAATTTGATTTTGATTTTATTTTTAATTTATTTTGACAAATTTTAAAATAACTTATTATAAAACCCGCGTGTATGCAGATCCTAAACTAGTTTTATGATAAAAAAAATAGTAAATCCAATCCAGTGGAAAAAAATTGGGAAAAGACATTTAAATACCCAACTTTTAAATTTTAATCAATTTAGATACAATTTTTTTCTGAACTTTTAAAATAATAATTTTTTTGTTAACTTGCATTTTTTTGGTAAACTTTTTGCAGCTATTGTCTCAAAGTGTGCTGGATTTACCTACCATGTCATCTTTAGAGTTCTATCAAACATTGACACTGTCTTCAGTAAAATCAAGGTGACTATCTCTTGGTTTTCGGAATTCTATCAAATACACATTTTAATGCATTCTAATGATGGAAATTCCTACTGAATAGATTCTTCGAAAAGCAATCTTTGTGCAAACTTTTGTTAGTGGGAATGTGGAATTCTTGTTAAAAATCACTTGGTATATAGCTTGTTTAATGTATCCTCAAATAAATAAATAAGAATTATAAAAAAAAATTTGAAGAAAGAAAAAGCAGCAACATATATATATATATATATATATATATATATATATCTTTTTGAGTAGATCGGAACCATGATATTGAATATTTACCGACAAGTTTTCTTTTAACTCCATAGCCAAAAAAAATCTATTTATATAAAATTAACTTTTCTCTCTTTTTATAAAATTTTCAAAATGTTTTTTTTTAAAATTAGGCCACTAATTTCAAATTTAGGATCTAATGCTTTTCCAAAAAAAAAAAAAAATATTTTAAACTGCAACTTCTACCTTATCAAGTAGTTCTACCTTAAGTAGTGAGAATTTTATTATTTGCACAGCAAAATAAAATCAAAGTTCATTAGGTCTTGCTCAGGCCTTACTCGAAACATAAGGGTTATGATACAACCCAAGATGATGTATCAACTAAAGATGATGACAGTCACTCCCTGGGGTCATCTTCTCAAGATCAAGTGATTACAAAGGAAGCTTTACTGCTGGTAATCTACTTTTCGTCTGGTTTTACTACTGGTCACAAAATTTTTTATTGTAAATGCCCACAAGAAAACCAGCAGATGTTCCTTTACATGAGAAGTGCTGAATTTTTGTTTCTTTTAACAGCAATCAAGACTCCAAGGTGATGTATCAACCGAAGATGATGACAGTCACTCACTGTGGTCATCTTCTCAAGATATATCAAGTGATTACAAGGAAGATCTACAGCTGGTAATCTACTTTTCGTCATTCTTACATGTATTAAATATTTGATATAACTCAAATCTAAGCGTTTTAACTCTTAACAGACTAATTTAATAAGTGTTAATTGCTCTTCAAGAGGGCTTTTGGCTGATCCATTTGCTGTAATTAGGGGTGGGCAAAATATCCGTTATATCCGCTTCGAACCGATATTTGCTTCGATTCGATTCGAAAAATCCGGATATCCGTAAAACTTCGGAGCAAAGCAAATAGCAAAATGTAGTATCCGTACAAAACGGAGCTAATAACAAATATGTTTTTAGACAACATCGGATATCCGATCCGATCCGTATCTTTATAAATTTATTATATATTAGTATATCTTATCATGTATATATCAATTATATTATAAATTTTTATTAATATACTCTCAGTTTTCTTCCTAAATTTTCAATTGTTTATAAATTATTTAGATTATATAAAATAAATGACTAAATAACCATTCATAAAAAATAAATAATATGTTTAAACTTAAAATATATTAATAAATCATAATTTATTTGATATTAGTTAATAAATATCAACAAAAGTTTTTAGTAAAGTTTAATATTTAAAGTTTCAAATAGTTAATATTATTTTTAAATATAAAATATTATTTTTTCCTCATCTTAATTTTATAGGTTTAATTTTTATAGATTTTTTATAAAATAAAATGTTTTCTTTTAATTATTTTCACTTAACAGTTTAGATAAAAAATATTTTTTATAATAAAAATTGATGTACTTTCAGTTTTGTGTATATTAAACGGATCAAACTAAATATTCATAAATATCTGTAAATATCCGTAAATATCCGCAAATACTTGTAAAATTTTCGGATATCCGAAAATCCGGATATCCGTATATTTCCGGAGCAAATTAAATCATTAAATTAAATATCCGTTAAAAACGGAGCAAACCATAAATACTTAAAAATTTCCGGATATCCGATCCGCGCCCACCCCTAGCTATAATAACCAAGGAGTTGTATCTGCATGCTGTAAGTCATTTCACACACTATCAAGGAAAGGTTTCTTCCATTTTCCCAAACACGTTAACTGATAGTATTTTTTTGGTAAACTTTTGCAGCTATTGTCTCAAAGTGTGCTGAATTTATCTGCCATGTCATTTTCAGAGTTCTATCAAACACTTGGCACTGAATTCAGTAAAATCAAGGTGAGTATCTCTTGGCCTTGAGAGTTCTATCAAATACACATTTTAATGCATTCTAATGATCTTGTATTTTAGGTCAATAGTCAATTTGGGAGTTTTATTTTTCTTAATTATAGAATTTAATGAGTTCATAGGGTAATTGGTGCAGTTACAATATTTTTTTTCTTTATAAACTAAGTATATTCTTTCATTATCAATCATCAAAGAATAAACAATGAATTACTATGGGCTTCTAGTTAGATCTGAATATAATACTATGTTCTTTGATTTCACTGTTTTCTACATTGTTTATTTTGTTCAAACAAAAGCAGATCATCCAACTTCAGGCTCCTCGGATCTCAAATACAGAAACCCAAAGTATCTGTCCATGTTGAATCACTTGAGATTCTACCTCCCTGAAGTTATTCTAAACTCATGTTCTTGGACGACGACATCATTTTTCTGAGAGATTTTACTCGAATTTGTGGGGAGAGTTTCCACACATGTTCGACAAGTATCTCAATTTTTTGAATTATCACATCGCAAGGAACTTCAATCCAAACACTTGTAGATGAACATATTCATGTTTGACCTAAAGGAATGGAAAAAGAGAGACATAACATGGTATAGAACTCTTAACTCTTAATTTGCATCAATGTTCTCGTGATGATTTTTGTTAATTAGATATGCTTTGCTCATTATGGTGTAATAGAATGAGAACATGACACTATGAAAACTAGGGACACTACCACTATGATTAATAACATTTTACGGACTAACATATTTTTTAAATAAGGCGTGGCACGTGCGGCCCATTTGAATAAGTATAAATTAATTGATTTGACTGCTTATGTCACTGAAGTATATTTATATATTCGGTCACTCGTCTAGAGAGAATTTTACAGTTAAGCGTGTTTGAGCTGAAGTAGGATTAGGATGTGTGACATTTTGGGAAGTGATTCCCAAAACCATATGAGTAAGGCCAAAACACACGGAAAGATCATGTAGTGATTGCAAGGTCAGTAAATAAGTCGGTCAGACTTCCAAAAAAATAACACATCAGCCGTCGGATAGAGGTGGAACCCACAAACCCGTGAAAAGACGTGAGTATGTTCACCGGTACGGACGATCGAGTACGGACGATCGAGGTGTTACATTGGGCTTGGTTATAACCCGAAGTATTGACAAGAGAATGCAGAAGTGGTTCACTCACTATAATGGGAACATGAAACCATGTCCAAGTATCGGCCGTATTGGACCAAGTACATCAAGTTCGATCACCCATATCTTCGTCAATGCAATCAAATCTTTTGTTAGATGGTTTGAGGTAATTACTCCTAAATCTTCTCTTGTTCCCATCACATTCCTCTTTATTTCCACACACATTGTTAATTGTTTATTCATATCTTTGCTTAGTCATTTTTTTTTCCGGGGTAAAAGCACTTTTGTTATTTCTGAGTTTTTCCCGATAATATGTTAATGGAGACCAGTGAAAAAGGAATCATTGTGTGTATTGACTATTAAACTATACAAATATATTCCAAATTCAATCATTGAATCGATTAAAAAACTTTCATTTTAAAACTATGTTAACATTTCTTAAACCTTTGATAGTTAAATCACAAAATATAACATTCATTCGATACACATCATTTGTTTAATAGAATATATTTTCAAAATATAAATCCCACTTTTAGCAACCAATGGAATTGCAATGTAAACTTTTAACATGTAAAATAATAAGTTGGACTTTCAAAATTGATCAGTAATGGTAACAAATTAGATAATATTATTAGTTATACAAAAATGAAAAGACCCATTTTATGATAGAAAGGATCATTAAACCTAATCCAGTGAAAAAAAAACTCAGTAATTATGTTGAGATACAAAACTACAAATCGGCCATCCGTTTCGTTAGAACGAAGAGAGAAGTTGAAAGGATGATCAAAAACGAAAAAATCAAAAATTAAATAACCCTAATCCCTCCTGAGGAATCAATGGAGAGAGAGGAAGAAGTGAAAATCTCCGACCAAATTGGTGATTTTGGCGAAGGAGATGGCATTAAAGTCTCATGCTTCACTGAAATTACTCTCCAAATCCAAATCATTCGTCTTGCGAAGCAGGTTCCCAACTAATAATTTATTTGTTTATTTATCCCTTATTCTGAAGACTTTGAACTGAAATTGGCCATAAACAAACTGCAGATTTATGTTTGGATCGGTTGCAATTCCGCCAAATTTGGGAACTCATATGCAGCCGCTTCAACGCGGCCGTTTAGTTCAGTGGAAAATTTAGGATTTCCAATGTCTAATTTAGTGTTTTGATTTCTGCTTAAATGGCAGAGCAATACAGTAATTGTTGCATCAGTACTTGGTGGAACATCTGATAACACTGGATATGGCATGGCACATAGATTAGGTTATCAACATCCTTAAAACAATCCTTTGCTCGAGGTTTTTTTTTTGGTCAAACTATAATTCATTAATCATTAGAAAGAGAAAGAGTTTAGACTCCATTAAAGGAGTATACATCTAGAGCTGACAAAGCAGCTTTTGCGAGAGAAACCGCTATGGAATTCTCTGTTCTGACAATTGCCTTAAACAAAATAAAAAGAAACAAAGATAGGGATTCCCAAATATCTGCTAGAATCCCTGCTATCTCGGGCAGAAATTCTCCAGATCTAATCAAGGAAATCAGGACTTGGGAGTAAGAGTTCACCTGGAGTCGAGTGATTCCAGTAGAATTGAACGAATTGATAGCATCTCTGATGGCAAGAGTTTCTGATGCTAGTGCTGAGGGGACAAACTATCTTGCCGAGGATCCTTGTCGAAATGGTAGTCCTTAATCGTCCTGCAGATGCCATCCCATTCCGGCGAGTAGAGTATGTGCCTTCCAGGCTCCGTCTGTGAAACATTTGAAAGTACCTGGGATTGGGTTTGGAAGTGATTGGGCTTTTTTTTGTCTCGGCCCGCCGGGTTTTCTTCTTCGGCCTGCTGCCACTCTTTGGCCTGCTGAATAGCTTTGGTGATCTTATGCTCCGGTGAGTGAGCTAGATCCTCGAAAACTAGTTTGTTCCTGGCGATCCAGATACCCCAGAGTAGCCAGGGGTATATCGGTGTCGTCGATAGTCCCACGGGTGGGAGCGTGACCGATCGCTTGGCTTGTTGGAGCAGGAGTCGCTCAGATGGGTTTGGAGGATTAGCGTCTGGGAGATTTGAAATCGGCACTAGTGCCTATACACTTTGTGCCAACAGACAGATCCAGAGGGTATGGGGTTTCAATTCAAGGGCATTGCATCACTTGCATAGGGTGTTGTCCAGGAGTCCTCTTGCGGACAAGGCTGTTCCAACCGGCAGAGCTCCTTGCATGCTTTCCAGAGGAAGGATTTGATTTCCAGGGGATTTATCAGGTGCCAGATGCTTGCTTTCCAATTGAAAGGATCTTCTGTTTTGTTTTCCGGCTTTATTCGCATGAGGTTGTATCCAGTTTTCACCGTGTATTCCCCTTATTTCTCTGCGAGCCAGACTAGTCGGTCCTCAGGTCTTGATTTGCCGGTGATGATTTATCGGATTTGGTACTCATGCTGAGGTAAATGCTTTTTAATCTCTTCCAAGTTCCATTCATTAGTTGTTTGGCATAACAGGTCTTTGACTTTGAGGTTTATAGCAGTGCGAGATGGTGGGCTAACATGAGCAGATTGAGACATCGTAGAGAGCCATGGATGCCTCCAGACATTGATCTCTGATCCTGTTCCGGTTACCCAACTAGCCCCTAGCTTGATGATTTCTCGCCCTGCTAGTATTCCTCGCCATCCATGCAATAGATTAGACGGTGCTGAACACTCCATGAAAGAGGAATTATGGCAATACTTGCCCAGAAGAACCTTACCAAGAAGGGAGTCTGGATGTCGGATGAGATGCCAGCTTAGCTTCGCCAGCAGTGCATCATTGTATGCCTCAAAGTCTTTGAATCCCAGTCCTCCATTTTTTTTTGGGAGAGTAAGTTTTTCTCACGCCACCCAACAAGATCTTCCTTTGATCTGGTTTTAAATCCCAAAAGAAACGGGTTAGTACTGACTGTATTCTTTTGCAGAGTGAAACAAGGAGTTTGAAGCATAGCATCGAGTGTGTTGGCATTGCCGAGAGCATGGATTGGAGAAGAACTTGTTTTCCAGCTGTTGACAGAAAATTTAATGTCCAACTATGGGATTTTTGTTGGATTTTATCCACTAAGGCTGTGAAGATGTCTCTCTTGCATCTTCCAAAGTGCTCAGGCAGCCCCAAGTATTTTCCTATACCTCCCTCGCTCTGGATATTAAGAGAGCTTTTGATTCTTGCTTTGGCTTCCCTTGGAGTCTTTGCTGAGAAGGTAATAGCAGATTTTGCTAGATCTATACTTTAACCTGAAGCTTGCTCGTATTGGCTCAGGATATCCCGGAGGGCTGTGTAGTTCTTCTCGTTGGATTTGCTGAAGAACATTGTGTCATCAGCGAATAGCATATGGTTCACTGGAGGGCTGTTACAGTCTACTTTTACTCCTGCAAAATCTCCCGAGACTCGAGCTTTCTTGCACAGACCTGAGAGTACTTCATTGCAGATGATAAAGAGAAAGGGGGATAACGGGTCCCCTTTCCTGAGTCCCCGGGATGGTTTGACTAGCCCCATTGGACTCCCGTTTATCAAGCAAGAGTAAGTGACTGTGGAGACACATTTCATGATTCAGTCTATCTAGTTTTGATGAAAACCCATCTTCTCAACAACAGCTTTCAGAAAACTCCATTCTAGCCTATCATAGGCTTTGCTCATGTCAGTTTTAACTGCCATGGAACAGTGTGCTCTGGCTTCTGATGTTCTTAGAAAATGCAGAATTTCATGCGTGATTAGGACATTATCAGAGATGGCTCGTCCCTTGACGAAAGCTGATTGTTGTTCGGAGATGATGGTTTCCAGGATTGGTTGAACACGCTTGGTGAGTATCTTTACCACAATTTTGTAGTAGACATTACATAGGGCAATGGGTCTGTAGTCTGAAGCTTTTTTTGGTGCTGTGATTTTTGGCAGAAGGCAGATGTGCGTCTCATTAGCACAAAGAGGAAGAGCTGCTGACTCGAAGAAGGTGCTTACTTCGTTGCCTATATCCAATCCGATAATGTCCCAAAAGGTTTAGTAAAAACTTGCTGAGAAACCGTCTGGTCCTAGGGCTTTGTCTCCATTTATATCAAAGATTGCCTCTCTTATCTCTTCTGGGGAAGGAATAGCACATAAATCGTTATTCATCTCTTCATTGATGCAGGGTAGAACCACTTCAGTCACCACAGATAGGTTTTGTTGATCTGTAGCAGTGAACAGCTCGTGAAAGTACATTTCGATTGCTATGCTGCCTTCCTCCTTATGAACCACTCCTTGTCCATCCTCAATCACTGTAAGGTGATTTCTTGATCATCTTCCTCTTGTGACAGCATGAATAAAGCTTGAGTTATGGTCACCCCCTCTTAACCACATGGCTATGCTTCTTTGTCTCCAGAATAACTCATCCTCCTTATAGACTTTCTCCAGGGAGGCTGTGAGTGCCGTTATTGCCTCTGTGTTGGGAGTATCCGCTGGGAAAGCTTCCTCGAGGCTATCCTGAAAGCTCTTTATTTGCTTTGCTGCATTGGTGTTCTGTTCCTTTGTCCATCAGATAATCTCTCTACGACATTTGTTTGTTTTTGTGACCACATGTGCCGTATTGTCAGTCCCCCAAGCATCCAAGATAAGTTGTCTGAAACCCTCTTTGTCCTTGAGGTTTCTGTCATATCTAAAGACGCATTTTCTTTTTAGTCTTTTCTTATCCAGGAAGGTTATTAGTGGCCTATGGTCAGAGCCCTCAAAGCGGAGGTATTCAGTATTTCCTGCTGGATTCATTTCTGTCCAGGCTGCATTAGCCATTGCTCTATCCAGTCTTGAGCGTATGAAGTGGCTGTACCTTGTGCCGCACCATGAGAGGGGATTTCCGGAATGTTTTAGGTCCCATAGTCTATTATGGGAAACAAAGCTGCGAAAATTCAGGAATGATCCCTCACATCTCGGGGGCCCTTCTCTCTATTCTGAGTTCTCTAATATGTCATTGAAGTCTCCTGTGAGAAGCCAAGCATCTTCTCTGTTGAGTCCGATGAGGGAGATGTGGTCCCAGAATGCGCGGCGGAGCTCCATCTGAGGGGTTCCATAGATAAAAGTTACATATAACAGAGCAATGTTTAAGGTGATATTTGTGTCTATGAAGTTTGAAGACGAAACTAGCACTTCCAGCTCCATTTCCGCCTTCCAGAGAAGAGCTAAGCCTCCATTAGCACCTTGAGGGGGCAGAAGAAGTGATTTTGAAAACCCATACCCTGCACTTTTTCCAGAATGATGTTGTCTTGCTGTTTTGTCTCCATGAGGAACATGATATCCGGGTTTTGAGATTTATGAATTTCCTGGATTCTATGAACTGCCAAGGGGTTCCCCAACCCTTGGCAGTTCTAGCTGGCAATGACTAAGGGAGCAGGACTCGACGGGTCCAAAAATCTCCTCTGCCTGCTTGCGTTTTTCGAATTTCCATGATGTCCTGTAAATCATGTTCCTCAGGCAGCGTGTTGGTGGCAGCATTCTCCCTGAATTCCGAGTTGTTTGGTTCTTGCTCACCCTGTGAATTTCCGGAGAGAAGAGCGTTTCCTTGGTGGGTTTGAGCCTCTAATAGTTACTCTTTTCTTTGCTCTTGTGATTTTGGGAGAGTTGCTGGTTCTCCGTTTCTTTAACGCCGGCTTAATTTTGCGTTTACCTGCAGCTCTAGACGCAGTAGCTGGTGGAGGCTTTCTTGGGTTTTTCTTTCTTTGTCCATCAGTGGGAGATGGATCCAATCTGAGGGAGGCAGGTTGAAAGTTAAAAGTTTACCTGGGATGATCCTTCTTCATAGTGTATCTCCACCTCTTGTAAAAATGCGGAAGCACTAGTGGGGTGATGGTTGATGATTGGCGGTGCTATTCTATCAAGGGCAGAGCCCCGAGACTTTGAGTGGCTGGAGACCGCTCCTCTTTCAGCCACATCGATTCCCGTCATTGGCTCTCTAGGAGGATTTGGAGAGGGTGCGTGAGAGATTTGCTTCCGGTTAGGACAATGTCGATCTTCTCTCAGAGTATTGACTGGAGATCTTTGAGTGGTTGTTTTATTTGACCGTTGAGATGATTGTCTAGCTCCGTAATCTTGTGCAGGTGGGGATACCTCTGCGCGAGTTTATCCGGGTTTCCTGGCACCTTTCCCATCTAACAGGAGACTAGAATTTGTATGAGATGTTGCGGTGTTGATAATGGTGGTGGTACCGAGTCCGAGCTGAGTTATAGTCGGTTCTGAAAAAAAGATCTTCTCTAGGGGATCTAGCCCTCGGTCTCTCGAGCTCTGTTTTATTGTGGATGTTGAGG